GTGGCTTGGCCCCAAAGTGGAAATGTTGCTCAGTTGTGGATGTGCCTGGTGATGAAAGTTAAATTTGATGCTGCAAAGAACAGTATTGCATAGGAACCTGGAATATTAGGTCCATGAATCAAGGTAAATTGGACATGGTCAAGCAGGAGATGGCTAGAGTAAACACCGACATCTTAGGAATCCATGAACTAAAATGGACGGGAATGGACGAATTTAATCCAGAAGACACTGTATCGACTACTGTGGGCAAGAATCCCTTAGAAGAAATGGAGCAGTCCTCATAATCAACAAAAGAATCTGAAATGCCATCCTTGGGTGCAACCTCAATAACCACAGAATGACCTTGGTTTGTTTCTAAGGCAAGCCATTCAACATCACAGTAATTCAAGTCTATGCCCCTACCACCAATGCCAAAGAAGTGAAGTTGATCAGTTCCTTGAAGACCTAGAAGATCTCCTAGAACTAACACCAAAAAAACATGTTCTATTCATCATTGGGGATTGGAATGCAAAAGTAGGAAGCCAAGATACCTGGAGTAACAGGCAAGTTTGGTCTTGGAGCACAAAATGAAGCGGGGCAAAGGCTAACTGAATTCTGCCAAGAGAATGCACTGGTCATAGCAAACATCCTTTTGCAACAATATAAGAGACGACTTTACAAATAGACATCACCAAAGGGTCAATACTGAAATCAAATTGATTACATTCTTTGTAGCCGAAGATGGAGAAGCTCTTTGCTGCTGCTACTGCTGCTAAATCACTTCAGTCGTGTCCAACTCTGTGCGGCCCCATAGACGGCAGCCCACCAGGCTCTCCCGTCCCTGGGATTCTCCAGGCAAGAACACTGGAGTGGGTGGCCATTTCTTTCTCCAATGCATGAAAGTGAAAAGTGAAAGTGAAGTTGCTCAGTCGTGTCCGATTCTTAGTGACCCCATGGACCACAGCCTACCAGGCTTCTCTGTCCATGGGATTTTCCAGGCAAGAGTACTGGACTGGGGTGCCATTGCCTTCTCTGGGAGAAGCTCTTTAGAGTCAGCAAAATCAAGACTTGGAGCTGACTGTGGCTCAGATCAGCTTCTCAAAGCAAAATTCAGTCTTAAACTATAGAAAGCAGGGAAAAGCACCAGGCTAGCCAGGTATGACTTCAATCCCCTATGAATATGCAGTGGAGGTGATGAATAGATTCAAGGGATTAGAACCAGTAAACAGTATGCCTGAAGAACTATGGACAGAGGTCTGTAATATAGTACAGAAGGCAGTGAACAAACTCACCCCAACAAGAAGGCAAAATGGTTATCTGAAGAGGAAAAGTGAAAAGCAAGGAGAGACAAGAAGGCCTTCTTCAATGAAGGATGCAAAGAAAAACAGAAAAACAACAGAATGAGAAAGACTAGAGCTTCAGGAAAATTGGAAATATCAGGGGAAGAATTCATCCAAAGATGGGCACAATAAAGGACAGAAACAACAGCAACCTAGTAGAAGTCAAAGAGATTAAGAAGAGATGGAAAGAATGCATGAAGAACTGTACAAAAAAAAGACCCTAATTAACCAGATAACCACAATGGTATGGTTACTCATCCAGAGCCAGACATTCTGGAGTGTGAAGTCAAGTGGGCCTTAAAAAGCATTGCTGTCAATCAAGTTAGTGGATGTGATGGAATTCCAGTAGAGCTATTTAAAACCCCCAAAGATAATGCTATCAAAGTGCTGCACTCAACATGTCCACAAATCTGGAAGACTTAGCAGTGGCTATAGGACTGGAAAAGGTCAATCCTCATCCCAATGCCAAGAAGGACAGTACTAAAGAATGTTCAAACCACTGGACAATTGTACTCATTTCCCATGCTAGGAAAGTAAGGCAAAGTCAAATCGCTCAGTCATGTCTGACTCTTTGCAAACCCATGAACTGTAGCCTGCCAGGCTCCTTTGTCCATAGGATTTTCAAGGCAAGAATACTGGAGTGGGTTGCCATTTAAGATCATGATTAAAATCTTGCATAGTGTGCTTCAGCATTACATGAACCAAGAACTTCCAGATATCCAAGCTGGGTTTACAAAAGGCAGAAGAACCAGAAATCAAATTGCCAACATTTGCTGGATCATAGAGAAAGCAAAGGAATTCCCAGAAAAACATCTACATGTTTCATTAACTACACTAAAGCCTTGTACTGTGTGGATCATAACAAACGGTGGAAAAATCTCAAAGAGATGGGAATATTAGACCTCTTACCTCTCTCCTGAGAAACATGTATGCAAGTCAAGAAGCAACAGTTAGAACCGTGTATGGAACAACTGGCTGGTTCAGGATTGAGAAAGGAGTGTGACAAGGCTGTCTGTTGTCACCCTGTTTATTTAACTTATACACAGAGCACATCATGGGAAATGCCAGGCTGGATGTTACAACCCAGAGTCAAGATTGGCAGGAGAAACATCAACAACCTCATGTATGCAGATGATACCACTCTTAATGGCAGAAAGCAAAGAGGAACTAAAGAACCTCTTGATGAGGTGAAGGAGGAGATTGAAAAAGCCGGCTTAAAAGTAAATACTAAAAAAACTAAGATCATGACATCTGGCCCCATCACTTCATGGCAAGTAGAAGGGGAAAGGATGGAAGAAGTAACAGACATCCTCTTCTTGGGCTCTAAAATCACTGTGGATGGGGACTGCAGTCATGAAATCAGAAGACAAATGCTCTTGGCATCAAAGGTATGACAAGCCTAGATAGTGTGTTGAAAAGCAAAGATATCACTTTGCTGACAAAGGTCCATATAGTTACAGTTACAGTCTTTCCAATGATCATATATGGTTGTGAGAGTTGGACCATAGAGAAGGCAGAGTGCAGAAGAATTGATGCCTTTGAACTGTGGTGCTGAAGACTCTTGAGAGTCCCTTGGACAGCAAGAAGATCAAACCAGTCTGTCTTAAAGGAAATCAACCCTGAATATTCACTGGAAGGACTGATGCTGAAGCTACAATATTTTGGTCACTTGATGCGAACAGTCGACTCACTGGAAAAGACCTTGGATGCTGGGAAAGACTGAAGGCAGAAGGCGTCAGAGGATGAGATGCCTGGATGGCACCACTGATGTAATGGACATGAACTTGGGCAAACTCTGGGAGGTGGTGTGGGACAGGGAGGCCTGGCCTGCTGCAGTTCATGGGGTGGCAAAGAGTCGGACAGAACTGGGCAACTGAACAGCAGCAAAAACAGAGCCCTTAGACCCCAGGGCTGGGTCTCCTCAGGCCAAACAACTAACAAGGAGGGAGCACAACCCCACCCATCAGCAGATAATTGGATAAAAGATTTACAAACAAGGCCCTACCCACCAGAGCAAGACAGAAGAAGCAAGAAGAACCACAGTTCATGGGGGCTAGAACAAAAACCATATTAAAGAAAGTTAATCAGGATGAAAAAGCAGAAATTTTGTCCCAGAGAAAGGGACAAGATAAAAGCCCCCCAAAAACAACTAAATGAAGTGGAGATAGGCAACCTTCCAGAAAAAGAATTCAAGACTCTCACTTAGATTTGATGGAGAAATCAAGCTTTCCAGACAAGTAAAGTTAAGAGAATTCAGCACCACCAAACCAGCTTTACCATAAATGTTAAAGGAACTTTCTAGGCAGTAAACAGAAGAGAAGGAAAAGACCTACAGAAAATAAACCCAAAACAATTAAGAAAATGGTAATAGGATCATATATATCATTAATTACCTTAAAGGTAAATGGATTAAATGTATCAAACAAAAGACATACACTGGCTGGGTCAATGAAAACATGTGCATGTATGCACTTTCACTTAACACATCACTCTGCTTGACACCCCCCAAACTGTATGTAATTATTCTATTGTTAGATTAATCATGTTCCCATTATGGCTTGCAATTGTAATTATCTTTTATTTTGTCTGGCTATTGACTGTGAAAACTGATCAAAGTATTTTACAGGTGTGATTATGTAACTATTACTCACTTAATACCATTGTATCATGATTGGTCAACAGAAAATATAATAGAATTCTGTATCACCAAAGCTACCATTTAATAGAAAAACCTGTAAAAAGATGTGGTACATATATATACACATAATAGAATACTACTCATCCATAAGAAAAGAACAAGACAGGGCTTCTGTGGTTGTCCAGTGGTTAAGAATCTGCCTTGCAATGCAAGGGACACTGGTTTGACCTCTGGTACAGAAGGGTCCCATATGCTGTGGAGCTGCTGAGCCCGTGTGGAACAGTAATGAGCCAGCACTCTGGAGCCTGCAAGCTGCAACATGCTACAACTACTGACGCCTGAGCACCTGGACCTGTGCTCTGTAACGAGAGACGCCACCTCAATGAGAAGGCTGCACACTACAATGCAAAGTAGCCCCTGCTCAGAACAACTGAAGAAAGCCTGCATGCAGCAATGAAGATCCACCACAGTCAAAAGATTAAATAATCTTTGGGGAAAAAAAGAATGAAATAATGCTACTTGCAGCAACATGAATGGAACTAGAGATTATCACACTATGTAAAGTCAGAAAGATAAATACTACATGATATCATTCATATGTGGATTCTAAAATATGATACAAACTGATCTATGAAACTGAAACAGAATCATGGACATACAGAACAAACTGGTGGTTGCCACGGGGAGGCGGTTGGGGGAGAGATGGAGAGATGGAGGTTGGAGTTAGCAGATGTACGCTTTTATACATAGAATGCATAAACAACTAGGTTCTACTTTATAGCACAAGGAACTATACTCAATATCCTTTGATAAACTTTAATGGAATAGACTATTAAAAAAGAAATGTGTATATATGTATAATTGAATCACTGCTACACAGCAGAAATTAACACACTGTAAATCAACCACATGTCAATAAAAATACTGACTGCAGTAAATAAAAAAATCTATAATTTTTTAAGCAAATCAAAGCTTGCACACATTATTTTTCTCTACACAGAAGTAAACATTTAGAAAGCAACTATAAAGAAGAAGCAACTTACTTTATTTCGATCTTGGACGACCAGTATTTTTCCAGTATTTTCATCAAATACAGCTCCTGTTGGGGGAAAAAGATAATCGAGAAATATGAATTTCCTTCACCTCAGATTACTCCCACACTATTACCTGTGATCATCTGAAGGCCTAGTTCAAATAACCACCTCATCCATGAAGAGTTAACTTCAGTAAGAAACCAGTTGCTCAGTTATCTTAGGTCTTTTAGTGGCTGAAAGTAACAACGATGGTTCTAGCATATGCTATCTTACAGAATAATCATTTGTATCTCCGTCTCTAGATCATCTATTCCTGATGATACAGTTAAAATACTCTTTCTATTAAGCATTTAGTGTCCAATTTTAAGTGCTTAAAAATATCCACTGAATCAATGGATTGATTTTTCCATTTTGATATTTATTCCTTGAATCACTATGTATAAACATGATACAAATCTCAAATATCTCAACATTCAGTTCAAGACTTCTTCCTTAAAGTCACTTAAATTCCCTTATCACATTATGTACACAACTTTATAACTTACCAATATGTTGCTACAGAATACTTTTTAATCAACGGTTTATACTTTTAAAGTTCTAGACCATTTCTTTGATTTATTCATTCAACATATACACTGCCCAGCACACTAGGCATTTTGCTAGATATTAGGGACACAAAAATTAGTTTTTTCTCTCCTTGGGTAATGCTAGGTCAAAAATAAAATGACACTTTAATGATCCAGAGCTTCCCTGATAGCTCAGTTGGTAAAGAATCCACCTGCAATAATGCAGGAGGCCCAGGTTCGATTCTTGGGTCGGGAAGATCCGCTGGAGAAGGGATAGACTACCCACTCCAGTATTCTTGGGCTTCCCTTGTGGCTCAGCTGGTAAAGAATCTGCCTGCAATGCAGGAGACCTGGGTTTGATCCCTAGGTTGGGAAGATCCCCTAGAGAAGGGAAAGGCTACCCACTCCAGTATTCTGGCCTGGAGAATTCCACAGACTATAGTCCACGGGGTCACAGAGTCAGACACTACTGAGCAACTTTCACATAAAGATCTGCATTCTCTTTAAAGGCTATAATTTAAACATTATTTGTATTTACATAATGTGGGAAGATATTGTTAAAAATATATTTTCTATTCATTCATTCAATATTAATTGAGCTCCTATGTTATACTACATGTAGGTTCTATATTTATAGTGTATGAATTGAGATCCTTTTTTTGTGTCAGGCACTTTTCCAACTGCTAAGGATACAGTCTCAAAGAATCAGACACAACCTAGCAACTGAACCACAAGGATACAGTGGTGAACAAAATGCCCTATCATTATGAGGCTCTTGTTCTGAGGCTGGTACGAGAAGGTTACAAATGAAAAATAAATTATGTAGAACATGTGTGCAAACTAAGCTGATTCAGAAGTGTCTGATTCTTTGCGACCCTAGGGACTGTAGCCACTGGGCTCCTCTGTCCCTGGGATTCTCCAGGCAAGAACACTGAAGTGGGCTGCCATTTCCTACTCCAGGGGATCTTTCCCACCCAGGGATAGAACCTCTGTTACTTCTCCTGCATTGGCAGGTGAATTACTTACCACCAGTGCCACCTGGTGATGGTAGTCATTTGGTCGTGTACGACTCTGCAATCCCATGGACTGTAGCCCACCAGGCGCTTCTGTCCATGCAATTATCCAGGGAAGGATACTGGAGTCAGTTGCCATTTCCTACTCCAGAGGATCTTCCTGATCCAGGGATTGAACCCAAATCTCCTGTGTCTCCTGCCTGGCAGGCGAATTCTTTACCGCTGCACCACCTGGGAAGCTCACATAGAACATGCTGCTGCTGCTGTTAAGTCACATCAGTGAGGTGGTAATAAATATTACAGATACAATACAGTAGGGGATAGATATATGCAACAAATGGAAGAAGAATTTTCTCTGAAATTTAAACATCCCATTTTAGCACTTCAAAGTCAAGAAAGAAAACCACAAAGTGAGATAATTAACATTAATGTTGGCTTCTATTAGAAAATATAAACTATAATTGGTTGAGTGGGCCCTAGGAAGCATTACGACAAACAAAGCTAGTAGAAGTGATGGAATTCCAGATGAGCTATTTAAAATCCTAAGAGATGATGCTGTTAAAGTGCTGCACTCAACATGCCAGCATATTTGGAAAACAGCAGTGGCCACAGGACTAGAAAAGGTCAGTTTCACTCCAATCCCAAAGAAGAGCAATGCCAAAGAATGTTCAAACCACCGTACAATTTCACTCATTTCACATCCTAGCAAGGTAATGCTCAAAATCTTTCAGGCTAAGCTTCAACAGTATGTGAACTGAAAACTTCCATATGTACAAGGTGGATTTAGAAAAGGCAGCAGAACCAGCGATCAAATTGCCAAAATCCACTGGATCATAGAAAAAGGGAATTCCAGAAAAACATCTACTTCTGCTTCACTGACTATGCTAAAGCCCTTGACTGTGTGGATCACAACAAACTGTGGAAAATCCTTAAAGAGATGGGAATGCCAGACCACCTAACCTGCCTCTTGAGAAATCTGTATGCAAGTCAAGAAACAACAGTTAGAACTGGACATGGAACAATGGACTGGTTCAAAATGGGGAAAGGAGTATGTCAAGGCTATATACTGTCACCCTGCTTATTTAACTTATATACAGCGTATATCATGTGAAATGCCAGGCTGGATGAAGCACAAGCTGGAATCTAAGATTGAGGGTGAAATATCAACAACCTCAGATATGCATATGATACCAGTTTAATGGCAGACAGTGAAGAGCTAAAGAGCCTCTTGAGGAGCATGCAAGAGGTGTGTGAAAAAGCTGGTTTAAAACTCAACATTCAAAAAACTAAGATCATGGCATCCCGTCCCATAACTTCATGGCAAACAGCTGGGAAGAAAGTAGAAACAGTGGCAGATTTTATTTTCTTGGGCTTCAAAATCACTGTTGATGGCAACTATAGGCATGAAAATAAAAGAGGCTTGCTCCTTGGAAGAAAGCTATACAAACTTAGCATATAAAAAGCAGAGACATCACTTTGCTGACAAAAGTCTGTATGGTCAAAGCTATGGTTTTTTCCAATAGTCATGTACAGGTGTCAGCGTTGGACCACAAAGGCGGCTCAACACCAAAGAATTGATGCTTTTGAACTGTAGTGCTGGAAAAGACCCTCACAGTCCCTTGGACAGCAAGGAGATCAAACCAGTCAATAATAAAGGAGATCAACCCTGAATACTCATTGGACAGACTGAGGCTGAAGCTCTAATATTCTGGCCAGCTGATACAAACAGCCAACTCATTGGAAAAGACCCTGGATGCTGGGAAAGATTGAGGGCAGGAGAAGAAGGGGGTGACAGAGGATGAGATGGCTGGATGACATCACTGACTCAATGGACATGAGTTTGAGCAAACTCCGGGAGATAGTGAAGGACAGGGAGGCCTGGAGTGCTCTAGTCCATGGCGTCACAAAGAGATGGAAATATCTTAGCAACTTAACAACAAAAACAAATAATTTAACTGGACTTCACATGAGTTGAATGCCAAAGAAATACCAAGAAAATCTACTCTTAATTTTTGATAATTTGTCATTACACAAATCAAACTTTTCCCTGCTGCTGCTGCTAAGTTGCTTCAGTCGTGTCCGACTCTGTGCGACCCCACAGACGGCAGCCCACCAGGCTCCCCCATCCCTGGGATTCTCCAGGCAAGAATATTGCAGTGGGCTGCCATTTCCTACTCCAGTGAATAAAAGTGAAAAGTGAAAGTGAAGTCGCTCAGCTAGCTGTGTCCGACTCTTTGAGACCCCATGGACTGCAGCCTACCAGGCTCCTCCAGCCATGGGATTTTCCAGGCAAGAGTACTGGAGTGGGGTGCCATTGCCTTCTCCAGAACTTTTCCCTAGTTCACTATAAACATGAGCCAAAAACAGCACTGTTAAACAAAATGTGAGCGACCTCTGCTGGTCACAACATAGAAGCGAAATAAACCCAAAGAAACAGGGAAACAGTGGAAACAATGACAGACTATTGGGGGGGGGCGGGGCTCCAAAATCACTGCAGATGGTGACTGCAGCCATGAAATTAAAAGACATTTGCTCCTCGGAAGAAAAGTTATGACCAATCTAGACAGCATATTAAAAAGCAGAGACATTACTTTGCCAACAAAGGCCTGTCTAATCAAAGCTATGTTTTTTCCAGTAGTCATATATGAGTTGGACTACAAAGAAAGCAGAGTGTCCAAGAACTGATGCTTTTGAACTGTGGTGTTGGAGAGGACTCTTGAGAGTCCCTTGGACTGCAAGGAGATCCAACCAGTCCATCCTAAAGGAGATCAATCCTGAATATTCATTGGAAGGACTGATGCTGAAGCTGAAACTCCAATACTTTGGCCACCTGATGTGAAGAGCTGACTCATTTGAAAAGACTCTGATGCTGGGGAAAGATGGACGGTGGGAGNACAAGTGCTCGGGCCTGGTGCACTGGGAAGACCCAGAGGGATCGGGTGGAGAGGGAGGTGGGAGGGGGGACTGGGATGGGGAATACATGTAAATCCATGGCTAATTCATTTCAATGTATAACAAAAACTACTGTAATGATGTAAAGTAATTAGCCTCCAACTAATAAAAATTAAAAAAAAAAAAAAAAAAAGAGCTGGATAAAGGATGATGGGATTGGCAGGTGGGAGGACTATTTTATGCAGGAAGGTCAGAAACTTTTCTGAGGAGATATTTCAGCTCTAAAGAGCTCAATAGACAAAGCCTTCTGGAAGAGCACTGCAGGAAGAGAAGCCAGCAGGTTTACAAGCTCTGAGGCAGATAGAAGCTGTTTGAAGAGAGTAGGAAAGCCAAAGCTCACTCCACAGCAATGTAGAGGAGGAAAGATTTTTTTCCCTTTACTCACTTCGGCTCTGTGTCTGAGACCTGAACTGAACTGACATATGACAGATTAATGGATAAGAAATATGTACATTTTATTTGGTGTTAATATTACCATGTGGCCTGGGTGGAGGTCTCCACAGAAATGAAAACCTCCTCAAAGTGTTTAGACCCAGGGGCTTATATACCATTCTAGGAAAGAGGGAAAAATTGTGCAGAAATGACAAAAGAAAGAGGGCTTTGTTCTAGGGGTGGTAAACGGTAAAAAAAAAAAAAAAAAAAGTGCAGAGGAATTAACTATATGGGGAAACTAGCAGAATATAATGGTTGTTTTCATAAGGTTTGTACTGACGGTTAAGAATCTTTCTGTACTGTGGGAGACACCAGTTCGATCCCTGGGTTGGAAAGATCCCTTAGAGAAGGAAATGGCAACCTACCCCAGTATTCAGGCCTGGAGGATTCTATGGACAGAGGAACCTGGAGGGCTACAGTTCATGGGGTTGCAAAGAGTCAGACACAACTGAGTGATTAACACCTTTTTTACCTGTTATTTCATAAGGTTTGTACAGATTTATCTCAATGTCAACTTCCCATCTCTGGTGATAATGTTGTCCTCTTTATGATAGAAAAAATTTATGCCCCGCTTTTAGGTAGAAAGGGTCAGGCAGAGAGCCCTTCCTGCTACCTCTTAATTGTCTTCACTTTGGCATATTTGAGGGTGGCATGTTCTGACTTCCTTAACCAGCTACATCTTGTAGATTTTAACAAAAAATGTCAACTATTTTCTCTTCATCTAAAAAACTGTATCTTTCTAGAAAAATGTCTTACAGTATCTTCTGACCCCTATGGCCACTTCAAATCCTGGTTATTCTTCAACACTCTGGTCAAGTTCCAGATCTCTCATCCCCTAAACTCCTATGGCATATCTTAACCATAATATAGTACTTAGTTATAAACAAGTTCTTCATAGGTGACTCTTTATGCATGTATTACCAATTCTCTAGTACTAACTGGAAACTCTAACTTGAAAGTCTGTACCAATGAACTGATAATTATGTCTTTCTTAAGCAGTGTAAGACTGTCATCAAATTTTCAAGGGGTCTTTTGAAGCAGAGATGAATGGAAAGCTGAATTGTCTCTATTTGCTACAGGGTAGTGAGACTGTGGACAGAGAAAACACTAGAAATCCTTGAACAACTCCTTAGAAGACTATGAAGATGAGAACTACCTTTTAAAACTTACTAATTATATGAAGGCAAATGATGCTATTATTAATAAATTACAATACACATTACTGCCTTGTAATAAATTAGAAGGATTCTTTCCTATTTTCATTTTTCTGAAAACCTGACAGTTTTCTTAACCCTTGTTCTCAAAGGGTCATCCTAGAGAACCAGCATCAATACCAGCAGCTGCAACAGCAGAGAATTTATTTGAATGGCAATTTTCGGGCCCCACCTCAGATCAAATGAATTAAAAACTCCTGAGGCTGGGGCCCAGCAATCTGCTTCAACAACTCCTCCAGGTGATTTTGATGTACTCTATAGTCTTACCTGGAAAATTCCATGGACAGAAGAGCCTGGCGGACTACAGTCCATGGAGTCAGAGAGTCAGATACAAGTGTGTAAGCATGTGCACACACAATTTGAGAATTCCTGTCTTAACTCAAAGCACTCAAGCTAACCACTGACTTCAAAATTCTTTATTTAAATTATACTATTTTACACAACGGTTTGGCACAATGACTTCCTTAAGTCAAATATCTTTAAGAAGTAATGGCTAACCAACATAATACTGTAATTTTCCTTACTAACACATATATATGGAATCTAAAAAGTAAATAATTTTTTTTAAAAAGTCATGTTCAAATCACTGAGAAACTGGTTTGCTTTACCTTAAATTCAACTTTACAGTTTTATTAAATCACACAATTCATACTAACATGCTGTACCATAATGAAATGATCTATTCCTGGATCCCAATTAACTATTCCTCTTTCAGCAGTGGAGTTCAAATGTCTGTGTAAAACATGTTCAAACATATCCTTTGGAAAACTAAACTTGCTTGTTCTCTGTGCTGCCCTCTGCTGATTCATAAGGCAAACTTCATCTCTTTAAAGCACTAGCTCCAGTTGGAAGGAAGATAATCATTTTATCAAATTATTCATTCCACATGAATAAAGTGTGGCTCAGATGGTAAAGAGTCTGCCTGCAATGTGGGAGACCCAGGTTCAATTCCTGGGTCGGGAAGGTACCCTGGAGAAGGGAATGACAACCCACTCCAGTGTTCTTGCCTGGAAAATCCTATGGACGGAGGAGCCTGGCGGGCTATAGGCCATGGGGTCGCAAAGAGTTGGACACGACTGAGCGACTTCACTTTCAGCTGGAAGAAGAAATGAGGTAGCCCTCTAACAGTTGATTCTGATTACCTTCAGTCTGAGACTGACCTGCCACTCCCACTTGATGTGTAGCGTACCCTGGTAACCTGCTGGGCCCATCGCCCAGCCACAGAGACAGCACAGATGAATCCGACTCCGCGTGGTGAAAGCAGAAGCCCAGGGAAGCGGCAGGGGCAATGAATCGACTTTGGAGAATGGGAATGTGCAGCCACACTGCTACTTTACCTTCTGATCTCCATTTCTGTACTGCAGCTGAAACGCAGAAGACAGACATCTATAAATATTTTCCAGAGAGAAAACTGGAATAAATTAAAACTCATCTCTGGGTGTCACTTCCTCCAGTAAGTCATATTTAAGCTCCACTTGGCGATTGGTGGTGGAGGGGGTGAGGGGGATCCCACAAATGTCCTGTTAACATACATCAGCAGCATAATTTCCCCACTATTTCTTAAAAATGAAGTCAATATAGCGATGATCTTTATACATCATCTGACAATACCTGACATACAATTGGTGCTCAATAATTGTAGAATGCACAAACCTATTTAAATAAATTACTGTTTCAATGCTGTTCTTTTTAACAATGAGTTTTAGTCTTTATAAATGATTACCAAGGGCTTTTATTTACTGTCTCAAGTATGTATGTGGTTTTTTTGGTTTATACATTTTGAGGTGGTTAAAAATTAATTTTGCTTTAATAATGTATGGTAGTTCTATAAAATTTTGAAAATAAAATGAAGAAATCAAAACTTCACATTAGCATACAGAGAAATTTAGACACTTTTTCCATGAATATAATTTTGGAATTGACATACCACATATAATTTACAACATGTTTTTTTTTTTCCCAATAGATTATAGACATTTTGTTACCATTAAAATTCTTTAACATATTTTTAATGACTGCATAATTTTCCTCATACATTTAGGTGTACCACAAATTACTTAACTAACCTAATTTTGGACATGTAGGTTGTTTGTAATCTTACCTTATTATTAATTATACCATGACAAACATTCAAATACATTTTTGGTCTTTGACTTTAAATTCTCTTACTTTGTTACTTAAGATTGAGTTGGGGGAAAAAGATGCTAACATTTATCTGGCCCTTACTAAAATTCAGACATTTTAGATACAGTATTTTAAGTTCTCACAACACAAAAGGCAAGTATGGTCACCACTAACTTTATAGGTGAAGAAATGAATACTTTACAGTTTTAGAAAAACTTCTCAGATCCCTTTCTCTATCCACCATCTCAGTCTTTACATTAATCCTACAAAATGTGAGTGGAGAGAGCAGAAAAGACTGGATCATTTATTTAATGGTTAGATTCCATTCCCTCCTCTTCTACAGCCTCTGAGGTAAGCATCTCCCTGTTGAGGACTATTGTTTCTCTACTCTTGCAAAGTCAGTGTGACTAACACAGTGACAGACAACTTGGGGCCCTAACAGACTTCTTGGTTTGGGGCTATGGGGTCCTGTCACATCCTTCTCATATCGAACTTTCTCTGCTATCTTCTTAAAAACTGCCATCGTTACATAAAGTGAAATGCATAAATCCTAAGCGAACATTTGAGTTTTGACCTATGCATTCACTTGTGTAGTCCACACTCCAGTCAGGATTACAGAAGATTTCGATCACCACAGGAAGTTCCCAAGTCTTCCTTTCCAATCACTCCAGTCAAGGGAAAAAGCTGAAGCTCTGAAAAAGTTGATGAAAAAACAGTTCTGAAAAGCTGAAGCCACTTGTTTACTATCTTTTATCTTCACACTCTGACTTGGAGAATCTGTCCACTCCCACTGCTTCAGCTAACTATATAATGATGCTTGTCCAGTCCTGGTCTCACTGAACACTGAATTTTACTGCTCTCCAGCTGCTTTCATATTCTGAAGGCCGCTGCTTCAAACTTCATACCAGTATTCAAAGCTGACTCCTATAGCCATCCTCAAGTAGTTTTTATTTACCGGTATACTTCTGGCTCCAATGCTTAAAGTCTAAGAATCATTTAAAAAAATTTTTCCCCCTCTTTTTTTGCTAATAAACTTTAATTTTTCCTCCTGTCCCTCATTACTTAGCTCAAATATATCCTTCAAAGTGAGCTCACATACCACCTCTTTTGCAATAAGCTTTCCCTAAATGCTTTCCAAATGTGAACTTAACTCCTCTAATAGATTTACTAGAACTTACTACACAATGCCTAATGACATCTTTTGTCATTTATTTTTCTAATCCTAATATTCTGTGGACAGAGGAGCCTGGCGGGCTACAATCCATGGGGTTGCAAAGAGTTGGACAAGACTGAGCACGCACACACACGATATCTTGTGCATCTGCAATCCTCCAGGTTAACATGATTTTATGCTTGGGCTCAATTCACATTTATTAAATGACTGGCTTGCGTAAAGTCACAAAGCTAGTGAGTGCCATAGCAAAGATCAGAATCAGCGTTATTTCCCCACTCACACAGATATTTGTGAAGCTTAACAACACAAATACGTCTTCACCTAAATTTAGTTTATAACAGGAACGGTAAAAAGAATAGACTTCACGTCCAAAGGTGCAAAACAACTATTGCTAATACATTATATACAATCAGTTCTATTTGCTTGAAAAGAAAGAATAGATTTAGACTTCCTATCAGGCTTTCTTCTCAGATTATTTATTTCAGTTTCTTTTTACAGGCAACATCATTCAGTTTTGTTTGACTCAATAACAAAAAACCAGCAATGGTTCTTATAGTGCAGCAAGAGCAAATTCTAGAGCCAGGAGAAGTTAATCTGTCAGTACCATCATCTTTGAAATGTGGATAATAATAGTACCTACCTCATAGGTTATAAGGACTAAATGAGTTAATAATTTGGAAGTCCTTAAAACAGTATCCAGCCCTTAGTGAGTGTAGTAGGATTTTATTAAAAAGTATGTAAGACTTCAGAGTTTATAAATTAGTCTCATGTAATTTATCTTTGATCACCACACCTATCCAATAAAGTAACTAGAGCTGGCATTATTCACATAAGCAACCTAAGGGGCAGATATTTTCAGTGGTGGTTATCCTAATGCCTGGTTAAGCATGTGGCAGAACATGGGACTTGAAACCTGGTCAAAGAGAGAGCCACTCAGTCGTGTCCAAATCTTTGCAACCCCATGAACTATACAGTCCATGGAATTCTCCAGGCCAGAATACTGGAGTGGCCATTCCCTTCTCCAGGGGATCTTTCCAACCCAGGGATCGAACCCAGGTCTCCCAAGTTGCAGGTGGGTCCTTTACCAGCTGAGCCACAGGGAAGACTGAAACCTGGACGTGACACCAAATCCAACCCACTTTCTGCTCCGCCTTCCTGATTGAGGTAGAGCTTTAACCACTAACAAGTAACAAATGTGTACAATAAACATCTGTGTCTCCCCACACATATTACACAGATTTGATTCTCCTACTGTTAACCCTGTTGGCAGTTAACAATTGTTCCCGAGGAGGAGAGAAAATAAGGTGAAGGGGTAAATAGTTTCGAAATGAAGATAGTTAAAGATTAAAACTAGTTCAATTACATTTCCACAGATGCTCACTCGCCATATTGCTTCACAGGATAAAGATCTGAAGTTTCCTTCTTAATGAGAGAAGAGCAATTTTCATGCCTTGCTTTCAATTTGATTGTAAGGACCCTTGGGCAGCTTGAAAAACCGGCTGCTCCACCAGATTACCGGCTCTCAAAGTGAGATCTCCTCTATCCAAGTTATCTTTCCTATCAGTGGACTCAAGGTTCAAAAGTGATGAGTTTTCCTACCAAAGACTGAAACCACTCCATCAGTCTCCCCGGTTAATTACAAAAAGCAATCAGCTTTTTGTGAAACAGACGCAAACTAGTTCACAGTCTCCACAGCTCCTGATCCAACCTGTGTACAAATACAACCACTCAAACCGCTCCAGCCTATTCACTGGCCACCACCTATACTAGGATGCGACAGTTTTGTCCTGGTCAAAGTGTCCAGCAGAACCAAGGGTTGGTAAATGTCAGTAAACAATAATAACATTTACTAAGCGGTAAGTTTGTGGCGGAAACTGTTCGAGGCACTTGATACGCGTTATCCATTTCATCCCTCAGCAATTCCACCAGTTCCTATTACCTGGTTTTACGGATGAGAAAATGGTGGTTTACACAACTTGGCTCGAGGTTACACACTAGAAAGAAGACCTGAAACAACGGCTGCAGATGCCAGAGTCTGAGCTCGTTACCGTTTCACCCAACCGCCTCAGAGACCTCCCCGCCAACGCCACAAGAACGAAAGGCAGAAAAGAGGTGCGGGTCACGCCTGCCCTCTCGTTCCCTCGAGCGCGACTCAGGGGTGGGGACCGCGGTTACTTCACGAAAAACACTGAGAAGCCCGGAGAGCCTCGCACCAGGCGCACTTGCCCTGCAAGGCCCTCTGGAAGGCGATCGGGTCCAGGCGGTCCAGAGCGTCCAGCCTCCCCAGGCGCACGGAGACGCCTCCAAATCTGTCCAGCTCTCCCCGCAGTTCCTCAGCTCCGAAAGGGGGGTCCCGAGCGCAACCCGAACCGCCCGCGGACAAGCGGGGCCCTGCGCCGAGCACCGCGCGGCGGGCCAGAGCCAGCGCCACACGCTGGTAGCTCCCCCAGAGGAGTGGCGGCATTTTGGCGCCGACCCTCGTTCCCCACGTGGACGCTCCTTATCACTCAACCCGCGTGATCAGGAAAAGTTGGAGTTACCGTAACTTTTAGAAGAGTGCCGCCAAGCCAGTCTCAGAGTTGAGCAGGCGTTACCTCTTCGCAGAGGAGATGACGAAGTCCAGTCGACCGGCTCCTTTCAAGAATCTGCCCAGCTCCAGGAAAGCGGGAGAAACTTTCCCACCACTGCCCTCCCACTCCAACCCACCTCAGCACAGCCCCACCCCCAGTTTAATTTAACAGAGATTTGTTCAGGATTAGGGAAGGCGGCGGATATACGAAAAAGCCCTGTTTTTAAGGAATTTACAATCGAAAAGAGCGTTCCGTTCACCTAATCTGTTTTCCTTGGCCATTCAGGAACTCTTCAAAGACAGGGGATTCTGAAGAAGCTCGGTTCTTCTGCTCTTACTGCGCTGCACTCAGGGGATTACGGCTCGGGACCGAGCCCTGCTGGCTTCTGCCCCGGAAGTTTTTCTGTCAGAGAAGCGCGCACGTTGAGCCGGCTTTACCGCTGCTTCTCTCTGGCTGCGTACGGATCATGTCGTCCAAGAAGAACAGAAAACGGCTAAACCAAAGCGCCGAGAATGGTTCTTCCTCGGCATCCGCTGCTTCCTTTCCTGCAGGGACCACAGCTTCTGCCGTGGCGGCCGGGACTCTGGTGGTGATTAACTTCTTAGAAAAGGGTAAAGAATTCTGAGTGGGAGACCCGAGGCCGAGGGGGCGCCGTCTGAGAGGACCGAAAACCTAGCGATTCTGCCTTGAGGTGTAGAGGTTTTTAAAAATTGAGCGAGGCAGAAGTGTGAGAGCGCAAAGTAGTCTGTAAAATACCCGAAGTCGCCCTTGCACTGGAGAAGTTAGGCAGAAATGACTTATCTGTGTCTTAGTTAAGCTTTTTTTGAAAATTGCCTTGAATTTGCCCTTGAAGCAGCTTTGCGTTAAGATTAACGTCATCTCTAACTGCAAAATCGTATCTAGCGAGGATAGTATATGAAAACTCTGAAATCCATTAGTGTAACAGTGTGGATTCGTCCTCTCTAAGAGACGTTAAGGTGCCTTTAAAACCGAAAGGTGGCTTTTTTTCCCTTACCACACAGGTTCTGGTATTTAATAAATAGCTGTTAATTGTGCGCGGGTGTTAGCAGTTGGTTGGGTATTTCAGGTATATATCTTATTTACTCTTCTCAGAGTTTTGGGAGATGAGTACTATATTTTACAGAGAAAGAAAAATTAACGCGATTCGCCCTCAGGTTACACAGGTACTAACTAAATGGCAGAGACTTTTTAGAGTCCACATGTATTTGACTCTAAAGCCATTGAGCTACATCCCAACAACCTTGACTTGGAAGAACGTATTTAATTGGTATAGCTTTTAGCAGGCTTGACCTCGTGGCAAAAATTTATTTATGTCTGTTGCAGACCCTAAAGACAGTCTTTCAGTTGACATAGTGTTTTCAGTCTGTCTTAGGATCACAGAGGACAACTTGCTCTGTCCTGCATATTCAATCCCGTTTTTCGACTGGATTTTTCCCATTGGCATTTAAACCTGCTGATACTCTCATCTTAAAAGCTCCACACCCTCCACTCCCAGACTTCTTAAATGGAGCCATCCCATCTCTGTCTCCTCAGCTCTCATTTATTCCTTAGGCCATTCGTATTTGACATCCATCCCAGGATTCCATGGAAACTGCCCTCTCGCTGATCTCTGATTATCCCCAGGTTGGTAAATCCAGTGGATGGTTTTCATTGCTTATTTACCTCAGCAGGTTTTGGTATTGCCAGCCATTTCTGTTTTCTTGAAATACTTTATTTTTTTGACTTAAATGTCATCAAACCCTCCTAGTTTGTCTCCCTCTTTTGGTTGGCACTTCATCAGTTTCCTTTGCAGGCTGCCTTCTTCCACCTAACCATCAAATATAGAAGTTCTTTTATTCTTAGCCTTAAACTCTCTTTCTCTCTATAAATTTTTTTTTTCCTTTGGCAAGTTCATCCAGTGCCCAGAGTTTTCCATTTACACACTTATTATGTTTAGATTTATATTTGTAATTTGTTTCTGAGTCTTGATTCAATGGTCTTCTAGACCAGTGCTTCTCACACTCTGTAGGGAAGGTTTAAAAATTCCCGACATGTCACAGATCAGCACTTTTGTAAAATACAATAAAAGTAAATTAATGGAAAAATAAGATTAAAAAAATAAATTTTTATTAAATTCAACAGATGTAAAATTACTCTGTCAAATTACAATAAAAACTACTAAATGCTACTATTTCCTGAGGTAAGTACCTCATCATGAACAAAGAGTTCGTGGACCACGATTTTTTTTTAACTGAAATATAGTTGATTAACAATATTAGTTTCAGATGTAAGTCGTGTTCACTTTTAAATACATTGGGAAACGATCACCTTGATGAAGTCTAGTAACCATCTGTCACTATCCAAAGTTATTATAGTATTATTGACTATATTCCTTATGGTGTGCGTTAATTCTCTGTAACTTATTTATTCATTACTTTATAACTGGAAATTTGTACTTCTTATTCCCCTTCTTGCTCAGCCACCCCCACCTTTCTCCCATTTCAGAAACCCACTTCTTTGTATCTATGAATTTGGTTTCTGTTTATGTTTTTGTTTTTTAGATTCCGTGTGTAAGTGAAATCATATGATACTGGTCTGTCTCTGACTTATTTCATTTGGCATAATATCCTCTAGATCCATCCATGTTGTTGCAAATGGCAAGATTTCATTCTTTTTTTAAATTGCTGAGTAATATTTCAATATATATGTATAAATGTTCTTTATATATTTTGGATATTAATTCCATATCAAGTTGTCATTTGCAGATATCTTCTTTCATTCAGTAGGCAGTCTTTTTGTTTTGTTTGATGGTTTCCTTCATTGTGCAAAAGCTTTTTAGTTAGATATAATCTCATTTATTTTTGCTTTTGTTGCCTTTGCCTCAGGAGACAGATCCAAAAAATATTACTAAGACTAACTTCAAGGAGTTTATTGCATTTGTTTTTTTTCTAGTAGTTTTATAGTTTTGGGTCTTACATTTAAGTCTTTAATCCATCTTGAATTTTTTTTTTTTTTTAAGAAAGTGATTCAGTTCATTTCTTTTGCGTGTAGCTGTCCATTTTTCCCAACACCAATGACTGAAGAGTTTGTCTTTTCCGCATTATATATTCTTGCCTCCTTTGTCATTGATTACTTACCTATATATGTGTGGGTTCATTTCTGGGCTTTTTATTCTGTTCCACTGATCTATGTATCCATTTTTGTACCACTGTCATACTGTTTTGATTACTATAATTTGAAATCAGAGAGTGTTCTACCTCCAGCTTTGTTCTTTCTCAAGATTGCATTGGCTATTCTAGTTCCATTCAAATTTACGATTATTAGTTCTACTTATGTGAAAAATGCCACTGGTATTTTGATAGGGATTGCATTGAATCTGTAGGTTGCTTTGGGTAGTATAGACATTTTAACAGTGTTAATTCTTCCCCAATTCATGAGCACAGTGTATCTTTCCATTTATTTGTGTCTTCAATTTCTTTCATCAGAATCTTATAGTTTTCAGATTATGAAGTCTTTCACCTCCTTGGTTAAATTTATTCCTAGATATTTTATTATATTTGATGCAGTGATAAATGGGATTCCTTTTTTTTTTTTTTTAATTCGTGGTCCCCACTTTGAATATAGCACTGTGCTATACCTCTTCTTTTGAATTTTTCACAGATACGTCAGGACTGACCTTGTGAACTGGTACTTAGTCCAACAAAACAAATGAGCTCTGTTCAGTCTTTCTCACTGTAAAATTCAGAAATCTCAGATTCCCCCATGACACCTCCCTCTTAAATCTCACATTGTCCAGTCCACCATCAAGTCCAGTTTACTAGCTAAAATTTTTCCCATGTTAGACTTCTGCATTCCCTTCCCACTGCTTCAACGTTAATCTCAGACACTGTCTTACCTGGACTACTACACTGATTGCTCTTTTCCAGTTCCTTTTCCACTCTGCAGACAGAATGGTCTTATGAAAATCCTATCACAACTCTGCTTTTCTCTGCTAACTGGCCTCCAGGAACTTGATCCAGCCCACTGCCCTAGGTGGTCTTGGCCTTCATCATGTGGCTCTCTTTTGTCTCGCACCACTCTGTCTACACTTTTCCCCTCAGATGCACAGTGCTCTCTTCTGTCAAGGATCTCTGTACATGCTGTTCTCTTCAGTGAGAATTGTTTTTGTTTTCCCCTCTTCGTTTAGTTACTTTTACTCTTCCTTCAGGTGGATTTAAACATTATTCTTTGAAAAAAACATTCTTTGATTCCTCTTAAGTTAGGTCTGATCCCACATTATAGGCTCTCTTAGCACTCTTAGTTGTTATTTCATTGCATTAATCTTAGTTTATAATTACACAGTTATTTAGTGATTGTTTAGTAGTTTGTATTCTATTAAGTTCTATGTTCCTTGACAAAGACTGTGTCTGCTTTTGTCCACCTTGTATCCCCAGTGCCTATTGTAGTATTTGCCTTAGAGTGGGCACGTGCTATTTGCTGAATGAACACATGAAGGGTAGATAGTTGTTTGAAATTACCTTTACTATCTCATTAGTTAATCTGCACATAAGGTGCTCAATAAATTAGGGAAGTGGATATGTGGATGTAGAGATATAAAGAATTGGAGGAATGAGGACTGGTGAAGGGAATTATGCGGTTAACAGTTTGTAAGCAGGGAATACGATGGAAATGTATTAGAAAATAAGGCCAGTGGATGGAAATTTGAATCCATTGGTGGTGGGGAGAAATGGAAGTATTTGAGAAGTGTGTGATTTATCAAATCTTGGTTCAGGGTAGGATGGAGGGAAGAGAGAAAGAAAACTTAAAATCTTGTCAGGGACTGAGTACCTCTGCAAGGTAATTATGAAGAGGGAAGGGTAATTCATTGAGATTTCCTTCCTAAGGAAGAGAGACTTCGCAGAAACTGAACATTACGAGGTTATCAAACAGGACACTTTGCTGTTATTGATGCGTAAACTGTGTAAGAAACCTGGGCTCATAAGAAAGTTGAATTTCTTTTCAGTCTCTCATTATAAAAAATGTTTATTTTGTGGTCAATCCTGTTAATCTTAGCCCTGGGAGATGCTTTGTTTTTCTATATTTGTTCATCTAACGACAGAGGGAAAATAAAAGTGTTGGAAAGTTACTTTGCAGTGGCAAAAAATGATGTAAATCAGACCTCATGGTTTTGCTTTTGTTGACTTAGTTTCTTTTTAATTACAAAAGATCTGTTTGTCTGATTATGAAGGAACATGAATACTAGTCAGAGCTCTCTGATTATGATATGTGACTATAGTAAGTTTTATAATAAAGTTTGTGACAGGCATCATAAGTGCTAGCATGGATTTTGTGCTGAAAAGAAAAATACTGTATACTTGTCTACTGCATCCATTCTTATCATGGATATTTATTATGCAGACGAACTCTGTATTTAATGAACTTCTAGGCAGTGGAGTTTACAAAGATGAGTATGACGTAGTTCCTGCCCCCAAAGCAGTATATAGTTTAAAGGAAAGTCGAATTGTGAAATAAGTGAATGTTATGATGATAAGTGCTAGTATCAGACAATATAAGGTGCTGGGAGATGAGAGGAGGGGTAGCTAACCAGATGTGCAGCCTGAGGGAGTGGGTGGGCAGAGGTGGAGATGTTAGCACATCATTTTAAGAGGTTTTGTAACTGGACTGAATTGCAGGCCCTTCTCTGGCCAAAAGTTGAAAGCACTACTGGTCATTTGAGCCAGCGTGTCTTCGCCTAAGGAATAAGACCTGTGTTATTATTATCCATGTGTTCTTGGGAATAGAAAGGAAAATGTCTGATTGCTGTCCTGTGGGTCAGAAGTGGAAACATAACTTAATCCTCTAGAGCCAGATTATGTGCCATTTCCCCAGTTCAAGCCTTTCAGTACTAGTAGCCAGATCAACTTAGAATCTGTAATAGAAGAAGTTCAGAATGCAAATATGAAAAGCCCTATTGCAAGTATGTTCAGTTAGTAATGAAATTAGAGATTTAAAAAAAAAATAATGAAAACTAATACCTACTCATAAAATATCCTTTTTTAGTTAGCATTCATATTGTCAGTGGAACCTCACAAAGGCTTGGTTTTAAGTCTGCTAAAATAAAGAGGGTTCGAAAAATAGTTTCTCCAGGATATGGTAAGTGCATTCATGTGGTAATATAGATTAAGGATTTTTATTTAGTCCAAAAGAAATCTTGCTTTAACTTCAGTTACAGAATACTGTGAAAATAATTTTCTTCTTTTTGGTAGATGACAAAGTTCCTAAAGCATTCCAGAATTCTCTTGTTCAACTTGGACTCAATACCATGAAGTCTGCAAATATTTGTATCGGTCGACCAGTGTTGCTTACCAGTTTGAATGGAAAGCAGGAGGTAAGAGTCCTTTTCATTTCCTTAATTTAGAAATATTTGAGATGTTTTTTATTTTCAACACAAGCAGTTTTGAAAAGCTGTATCTTACAAGACCCTCACATCTGTCTAAACTTCTCCTTCCTGTGATACGCTGGGAGTTGTAGCTCCTGAGTGTCGTGATGTGGAGAAACCTTTCCCCCAGCAATAGTGACACGCTAACAGCCCTATATTTTGCTGTCTGTGGGTTGTATTTCCTCACAGAAATGTTATTTTGGGTCATTTGTTTTGTATATGAATATTTGATCACCCTCCGTTTGTCCTGGCAGCCATTCATCATACCTGAGACTCTTAAGTCCAGGATCTTTCTTGAGTCATTTTTGGCAGCTTGGCTTTCTTCTTCTGCCTCTGACATGTCTTCTGCTGCTGCTTCATCAGTCAGTGTTCTCCCCACCAGTGGGATCCCCTGGAAATATTTTGTAATCTCGTACCTGCTGATGGCATGTCTTCCATTCCTTTTGTTGTCCTGGACTTTTACTGTAAAAAATCCTTAGTGTGTTTTGTGGAAAAGAAGACTATAAATGCATAAGCTCAGCCCACTAATCTGGAGCTAGAAACCTTCTCCCTTAGAACATAAGTCTGATGAGATCCAGGTTCCCATGGAGCTCTTGTGCTGGTCCATCCCTGTTTCCTAGATGTAGTTTATGCTCTAGATTGAATTACCTTACAGTTAGCTTGCCTTCAGTTTTTTTCTTATCTTCCTCTTATCTCCTGTTAAGGTCTTATCTCTTTTCCTAAAACCAACTCTCAGTTCTTCCACCATTTTCCCTGTGGGATTACCCCTAATTTTCACAAAAAAAGGTGTAATATTTATCAGTTCAGTTCAGTCGTACAGTCATGTCTGACTCTTTGTGACCCAATGGACTACAGGATGCCAGGCTTCCTTGTCCTTACTAACTCCCAGAGCTTGCTCAAGTTCAATAGTTCTTTGTAGTTTGTATCTCATAGTATCTCCTTTAGGGCAAAGACTTGTGTTTTGCAGAGCCATGTACTTGACTGTGCTTAGTTTTCTTTCCTATAAATTAATGATATTTTACAAATAAGTATTTTCTTATTTTTTTGTTTCCTCTGTTCTGGGCAGGTCTATACGGCCTGGCCTGTGGCAGGATTTCCTGGAGGCAAGGTTGGCCTGAGTGAAGTGGCACAGAAGAACGTGGGTGTGAGGGTTGGTGATGCCATCCATGTCCAGCCTGTTTTGGGTGCTGTGCTGCAGGCTGAGGAAATGGACGTGGCTCTCAGGTTTGGCTCTTGGTGGTGGTGATTGTCTGGATTAGTGCTGCCCAGTAGAAATAAGATGAGTCACAAATGTGAACCACATGTTTAATTCTGCATTTTCTAGTAGCCACATTTAAAAAGTGAAGAGAAAGAGAAAGTAATTGTATATTTTATTTAGTCAATATATAAAATTTTATTTGAACTTATAATAAGCACAAAAATTATTAACAAGATTTTTCCTTCTGTTTTTCAAACTGAGCCTTCAAAATCCACTGTGTTATGTTACCTTTGTAGCACATCTCAGTTTGGGCTCACCATGTTCTTAGCACTTGATGGCCACAAGTGTTGAGTGGCTAGTGACCTACTGTATCAGACAGCACAGACTAGATGGGTGTTATGTCATTTATGGACCACAGGCTCTCTAATGTCCTGTGATTACAGTATGCTCTGACATTTTAGGTAAGAGGAATTATTATTAATGGATAGTTAATGGTGTTTTTTTCTCATGATCTGTTGTATAATCAGGGCTTCCTGTCTTACAATTGTAAAGACAGTAGTAGATTACTATGAATAGGCAAGAAACAAGTTTTAATTAAGGCTGCTCAAGCAAAGTATGTGATTGTGTATTTTAACTCACTGGTTATTCAAACCAATAAAATAGTTACATCTATCATATTTTTAAATAGTCCCCTATGAAAGACTATCGATGTGGTTAAAGTATATCACCCACCCTCTTGAATGTTCTGTATCTAATAGGGTTTTTACTCAGTTTGCATATACAAGTCTTACCAAAATTTGTTTTTAAAAAATCTTTTGATACTTTGATAGCATGTGTATAAAAATTTGGAGGCTTTTATGTGCTGGAATCACAAAACATTTTTTAATCATAGCTTGATTTTGAAATGTTTTCTTCACTTTTTCTACTTTTGTAGATTCCAAGCTTAAGCTTTGGCCTATTTTTCTTTTTAAAAACAGGAAAATATCTTCAGTGCATTTTATAACAGTTTAGTGAGCAACGAAGTAAAAGGCAGAAAGGAAATGAGAACACAACATGTGTTGAGCACCAACCATGTGCTAGGACACAAGTGCATACACTTCTCCCATTTTTCTTCTCTCATTTAATCCTCTAGACATACTGCAAGGTGTCCATGTTTATCCATTTTTACAGGTGAGAGAATGGGCTCAGTGAGAAGTCAGTTGCTCATTATTTTATGGTAATTTTTTAATTAACTCAGGTTAAATAGGATTAATCTTTAGACTGTTCTAAAACAGTCCTTTAGATAGTTATCAGTTGACTAGATCAGTTACTAACAAGTGTGACCTCTTGAGGGCGCAGCAGTCTTAGGTGATAATGAGTACCTATTATAGAGGGACTTCATGTGTATTAAATGGAAGCTTTTTTTTTTTTATAGAATCTTGTGTTTTAAATGTGGCAGCAGCACTTAAACAAGAAACTTAATTTTCAATAAGAAAAATCAGTAGTTTTAGTCTGCTGCTTAAATCCTTCAGGTGTTAGCTGAAAAATTTTATTACTAATGTTAGAGCTCCTTCTAGTGGAAATGATTTTATCTGCACACATTCTTTTTTTAAAAGCAAAACTATTTATTTTTACATATTTCACATATTTGCAAATATTTTCTATTCAAAGTTTAATAAATAAAAACAGTCTAAGTAGTTTCAGAGTTCTATAAACAAGTAAATTTAAGTATTTAAGGAAATACAGTTTCCTGTTTATAAACACATTTGGTTCATGAAATTTTCTCCTTGTTTTTCTCTTTTATTTGAATAAATAAAATAATCAAATCATCATTTGTGGTAGTTATGTTACATGAAGTTGCCACAAATACTGAACTGTTGCTTGGAGGGGGTGTGTGTGTGTGTTTATTTAACATATATAACTATATGAAAATACATGTCTTACATAGATTATAACTTATAATCTTATAACTCCCTGAACAACTCATTCTGGTAGATTCTATTTTAGAAAAGATAAGTGGCTTAGAAGTATTTAGTGACTTGCCTGAGGTCACTCCATTAAGAGGCGCCAGAGTTAGGATTCGAACCCCCCTCTACCTGGTCCTGGAGCTGCAGCTTTCCGCTGTATATTGTACTGCTCCCTTCCCTCCTCAACTTCTGTCCTCTGGTCACCTCTGAATGAGAGTTGAAATAGAGGCTTTTTTTAACCTCAGCTGGGAAAGTGTTGGGTTACTCACATTTTTGCCTGTTCTGTTCTCTTCTACAAATGTCTGGGAAAGCCCCACTAGTATTGATTTTGGTGTTACAAACATATTTTAGCAAGTAGATGAATTTGCATATGGAATCCTCAAATAAGTTTGTATCAGTTTTGTTACTGATAATGTGATTGAGAACATGGCTTAGATTTGGACCACATGGGCTTGCTAATATACCTTTTCCTGAGCTAAACCATTCTCCCTCTGTGATCTCTGTCAAATTCAATAGCCATAGGCTTCTTCTCCTGATACCAATTGCTTACACATGGAGGAGGAAAAATGCATGTTCTGAGAGCTCTCCAAGGATGTGTGTCTTTACAAGTATAATGATTTTTAGCCATACTTCTGTAATCAAACAAGCAGTCTCCCTGGAAAACACTGTAATTGGTCAGAAGAAGGCTTTTACATTTTTTTAGGCATGCCCTTCTCTTGAATAAACTTCCATTGTACCATTACCTTGCTTTTTTCTTAGCTCTTCAGATAATGTACTCTATAGGATTTAAATTTCCTTAAAGGTAATTTATAAATGATTGAAAGAGAATAAAGTAAGCTATTAATAAAAGCCTTTATCCAAGCTGGGCAAGTTCAGAAAGAAAATGATTAATTGAGACTAGTGGTTTTTTTTAAAAATGTTTTTGGCTATGATACACAATAAAAAACACATTTTTTGTTTTAATTTATTGTACATATACTACATGCAGAGATGTAGTGCATAAATGTACACCACGTTTGTACATGTATATGTGTGCTCAGTCACTCATACATGTATGCACCTCAGTATATCTGGGGGGGAGGTGTGTGTATGAGTGATATGTAAGATAGTAAAGAACATTGATTTGGGCTTCTAGGAAACCACATTACAAATGATTTCATGGCTGTAAGATGTATCTGCAAAGTATAAATCATTCTAAAATTGTATAAATTTTTTCTAGGTTGTAAACTAATGATTTTCGTGATTAGGTCTGCATTATCACTGTGTGCGTGTCATTTTATATTACATTTTAGTTTCTGGTGTACTTAATGCTGATTTTTATTTCTCCCATCCTTCACAGTGACAAAAATGCAGATATTAATGAAGAACAACTGGCTGGTTGTATTTTGAGAAAACTAGGTGAGATGTATTTTTAATAGTTTTCTAAATTTTGAAAAGCAAGGCAGCAGCAAATAAACTAATGTGTCTTCGAGGTCTTGTGTGCGTAATACTTTTCTTTGAAATAGTGTAGAGATTATTCTTTCCAATGAATTAATGTCCCTTTAAGATAAGGATGTAGTCTCTCTCTCCTTCCTCCTGCCCGCCCCCCAGTATTAACCTCACCTGCTGTGTAATTGACTGATAGTTGAGCCCTGCAGAGAATGTATGACTTAACCTGTGAACAGTTGGTGGTAGAACTGAAACTTTTAACCCTTGAGCTCTGTTCTTTTCAGTGAGAAATGTTGGAGTGTTGATTTAGATTTGCCATTTTAGGTTGGTTCATTGTTGAACATGGAATGTCTGGCCATAGGGGGATATAGTTGATAGAATCATACATGTATTGAGTGTAGAGGATTTCAGAGAATCATCTTTTCCTTCTTAGGTCTCCAAATACTGCTGTATCTTAGGGGAGGAATTTTAGGTCCTCTGTTTTTCGTAACAGTTATTTTATGTTCCATCTTTGATTTAGTCTTTTCAAGCATAATTATGTTAATAGATTAAATTGCTATTCAGACTTTAAATGAGTGAAAAATTGTGCTGACATATATATTTAATAAATTGTTTTCCAGATGGCAAGGTGGTTTTACCAGGCAACTTTCTGTATTGTACATTCTATGGACGACCATGCAAGCTGCAAGTGTTGCGAGTGAAAGGGGCAGATGGCACAATGTTGAGAAGGGCTCAGAATGACTCTGACACTGCTGCCCGGGGAATGGCCTCTGAGCTGTCCAGCCGAGATCCTAGCACCCTGGATATATCCTATCAGCTAAGCCAGTTAGATCTGGAAGTGCCCCGACGGCCGGCATCAAGTAGTACTCCTTACAGACCAGTAGATGACAGAATGATGAATAAAGCTGGTGGCATTTTGTCAGATGGTACACAGAGTCCTGGGAATGGCAGTGGACTTGGATTAGAGGAGGTCACAGGGCTTGCATGTAGTTTTGAGTCTGCCAGGGAAGGAAGTGAGCAACCTGTTGATGAAGAGAGATTACTGAAGTCACCCAGCGTGGGAGCACAGAGCAACACCGATACCTTTTATTTTATTTCTTCAAAAACAAGAGTCAATTTTACAAAGAACCGTACAAATTCAAAAGATCAAGCCAACCAATTAAAAGTAACTTATGACATGATAGGTGGCTTAAATAGTCAGCTGAAAGAAATTAGAGAAATTATTGAATTACCTCTCAAACAGCCTGAGCTTTTCAAGAGTTATGGTATGATTTTTTCAGTGTATTATACCCAGAAATGTTAAACTAGATGGCAGTTGGCTCATTGCATTTAACTAATAATTGTTCACCTTCTCTTCCAGTTTTTCTTTCCTGGGTGGGAGGTGTGGTAGGAATTGTGAGTTGCTTTGGGAAATGCCTTTTAACTGAGCCTTTTTCTGTGCTCAAGATCTACTGCCTAATGCTCTGATGTGGAGCTGATGTAATAATCATAGAGATAAAGTGTATGATAAATGTAAAACACTTGAATCATCCCTAAACCATCCCAATCTCCCCCCCCCCCCACCCCTGCACCCCTGGTTAGTTTAGAAATTATTTTCCACAAAACTAGTCCCTGGTTCCAAAAAGGTTGGGGACTGCTGCTTTAGGGTATGTGAGTCAGTCGTAGTCTTGTCTGTTTTAACTGCATACTTCCACAGTTGTTTGTATTGGATCTGGAACAAGTACCATGCTAGATTAGCTGTAATGACTAAAAAAATAAACCAAACATTAAATAGTTTGGATAAAACTTCTTTGTTAGGCAATGTAGCTGAATGCAGATCTCTTTGTATTAAAACAAGTGCAGGGAGTGACTTGACTTTTAGAAAACTCAGGGCTTCTGAAAGGTTACTGCCCAGATCCTCTGCATATATGTGGTGCATACCATGCCTTACTCCGATTTTTTGATTTTTCCTTTTTCATGAATCTTTATATGTATCAGATGAACCCTTGAATTGACATTTTGCTGGTAATGCTTATATTCTCTGAGATCAAATTGGATGAAATTTGGGATTGAATGTTGGATGAAACTAGTTGGATGAAAACTGGGATTGGTGGCTTCTTTTGGATATCCTTGTTTGGGTTTTGTTTTCTGGTCATTGGACAATGCTGTGTGGATTGGGGCATGGCAATAGTGTGGGTAGCCAACCACTTTTTTTTTTTTTTGGAGTCAGCTTTTTTATTTATTTATTTTTTTTGTATTTATTTATTTCTTTTTTCTTTTTTTTTTTCATTTATTTTTATTAGTTGGAGGCTAATTACTTCACAACATCTCAGTGGGTTTTGTCATACATTGACATGAATCAGCCATGGATTTACATGTATTCCCCATCCCGGTCCCCCCTCCCACCTCCCTCTCCACCCGATCCCTCTGGGTCTTCCCAGTGCACCAGGCCCGAGCACTTGTCTCATGCATCCAACCTGGGCTGGTGATCTGTTTCACCCTAGATAATATACATGTTTCGATGCTGTTCTCTTGAAACATCCCACCCTCGCCTTCTCCCACAGAGTCCAAAAGTCTGTTCTATACATCTGTGTCTCTTTTTCTGTTTTGCATATAGGGTTATCGTTACCATCTTTCTAAATTCCATATATATGTGTTAGTATACTGTAATGGTCTTTATCTTTCTGGCTTACTTCGCTCTGTATAATGGGCTCCAGTTTCATCCATCTCATTAGAACTGATTCAAATGAATTCTTTTTAATGGCTGAGTAATATTCCATGGTGTATATGTACCACAGCTTCCTCATCCATTCGTCTGCTGATGGGCATCTAGGTTGCTTCCATGTCCTGGCTATTATAAACAGTGCTGCGATGAACATTGGGGTGCACGTGTCTCTTTCAGATCTGGTTTCCTCGGTGTGTATGCCCAGAAGTGGGATTGCTGGGTCATATGGCAGTTCTATTTCCAGCTTTTTAAGAAATCTCCACACTGTTTTCCATAGTGGCTGTACTAATTTGCATTCCCACCAACAGTGTAAGAGGGTTCCCTTTTCTCCACACCCTCTCCAGCATTTATTGCTTGTAGACTTTTGGATAGCAGCCATCCTGACTGGCGTGTAATGGTACCTCATTGTGGTTTTGATTTGCATTTCTCTGATAATGAGTGATGTTGAGCATCTTTTCATGTGTTTGTTAGCCATCTGTATGTCTTCCTTGGAGAAATGTCTGTTTAGTTCTTTGGCCCATTTTTTGATTGGGTCATTTATTTTTCTGGAGTTGAGCTGGAGGAGTTGCTTGTATATTTTTGAGATTAATCCTTTGTCTGTTGCTTCGTTTGCTATTATTTTCTCCCAATCTGAGGGCTGTCTTTTCACCTTGCTTATAGTTTCCTTTGTTGTGCAAAAGCTTTTAAGTTTCATTAGGTCCCATTTGTTTATTTTTGCTTTTATTTCTGAAATTCTGGGATGTGGGTCATAGAGGATCCTGCTGTGATTTATGTCGGAGAGTGTTTTGCCTATGTTCTCCTCTAGGAGTTTGATAGTTTCTCCAACCACTTTTTTACTAACCAGCCTGGTCTAGTTGGGTCTACACAGAGAGAAAAAGTCAGAGTTGTCATGTCTGGGGGGGAAAAGTTCTGAATCTTACTTTAGTTTTGATGCAAGTAAATTTATTTTATAACTTGTGTTTGAAGTCATGTGACAATGCTTACCATAAACCTACTAATGCTGAATCTAGTGTTCTCTACTTCTTCTAGGAATTCCTCCTCCTAGAGGAGTGTTACTCTATGGCCCTCCGGGTACTGGAAAGACGATGATTGCCAGGGCTGTTGCTAATGAAGTTGGTGCCTATGTTTCTGTAATTAATGGCCCTGAAATTATAAGCAAGTAGGTGCATAATTTAATAGAATAAACAATATTATTAGATATACTTCTTAAATATAGTTTTTAAAAAATGGCTCTTTAGTATTCTATCTGAATGTTTCACACACTGAAATGTTAAATTTGCTTTTAATGTGTATAAAATTTAAGTTTAGAAAATAATTTTTGAAAGTTTTAAGTATTCTGAAAATATTTGAAGTCAGAGGAACTTTTATAGGTAGAATTTTAAAAATGATGAGTTGGTCCTTAAATGTAATTTATTTCTTACAGATTCTATGGGGAGACAGAAGCAAGATTACGTCAGATATTTGCTGAAGCCACTCTGCGGTATTTCTTTATTTTTGGATGTTTGGAATTTTTTTGGATATAGTCAAGGCTATAATTAATGAAAGTAGAGATAGTAGCACTTTACATGAAACGTGAAAGAATAGAACAAAAATAGCACTGGAAGTAGATTGTAAATTTAATGAGTTTCTAATCCAGTTCTATCTAATTCTGTTTTAGAAACAAACTTTAGAAATACTGTTTTAGATAAATAAGTTATTAAATTACATAGTAGCAAAAGGTACAAACTTTCAGTTATAAATCATGAAGATGTAATCTATAGCATGGTGACTGTAGTTAATAATAAAGAACTTTTAGACAAAGAACAAATAATAAAGAACATTTCTTACTTTCTATCCCTTGGACTTTATTTATTTATTTTTTTTTTTTAATTTTTATTAGTTGGAGGCTAATTACTTTACATCATTACAGTAGTTTTTGTTATACATTGATATGAATTAGCCATGTATCCCTTGGACTTTAAACCAGCTCCAAGGGATAGCTTCAGTGGCCTCAGTTTCTGAATTGATCAAGAGATAACGATTTAAGGGGTCTTAGTGGGCAAGGTCTATCTGAGCCTTCATTCTCATCTCATGAGCCATACAGGTTCTCAGTATTCTGCTTTTTTATTGAGGGCAGATCTACTAGCATGTCATATTGGTGACTTAATAATTGAGGCTAGAATTATTCTAAGACTTTTTAGCTTCACGTTTCTATTGCTTTTGTCTTTGATACTAACTAAATTCTAAATTTGATACATTGTGTTTCAATCAAAAAAACTCAATTTTTAATTGAAATGCAACATAAAATTTAAAAGCTAAATGTGTACTAGAGAATTCATTTTACTTGTTTATTTTTAGGCACCCATCAATTATTTTTATTGATGAGCTGGATGCACTTTGCCCTAAAAGAGAAGGGGCTCAGAATGAAGTGGAAAAAAGAGTTGTAGCTTCACTCTTAACACTGATGGATGGTATTGGTTCAGTAAGTATAGCACCAGTATTGATTTCTTTAGTAGGGGATATTTTCTTAATAATATGTATGTAGTAGCAAAAACTATCAAGTATGTCTGAGTTTTTTGGGATCTCTAGGGTAAAGGAAAAAATATTAGCTCTAAGAACTAGAGGACCAAGACCCATAAAATAATTTTCTCCAGTGATTTCTTAGTAACAGCAAGGATAGTATAACCTGGCAGTGTTTTTCTAGCATATAAAATTATTTACATTGATAAATATCTTTTTGTAATAAATGGTATTAACCTAAAAACCTGAAGTAAAAATCAGTAAGGAAAATTTAGCAGTTAAACGGGAATTTACTAAGAAATTTCATAAGTAAGTCTCATATAACTCCTATAAAAATTAGTTTGGTGGGAGAGCTTTAAGTTTTGGAAGTGAAAGGACCAAGTGAGAATCATGGGAAATGTGTTGTACAACATTTAAAAAAAAGTTTACTCATGTTACCAAATTCTTTGTATATAGTGCATGCAATCTTATATTAATAAGAACTATGTGCTGATTATGAAAGGAAGACCAGTAGAACTAATAGGGAAGAGGAATGAAGACTCCTGGCAGGCATTTATCAGAAGAATACACTTCTTATACAAGATTATAAATAACTCAGTTTTTAGAATCTAAATATGTTGGAGCCTAAAGAAATTTTAGAAATTATGGGGTCCTATGTCTTTCTTTTGCACATTAAAAAGCTAGAGAGTTGGAGCCTTTTGGTTTTACTGCCTATTGGTAGAAACTGAACATATGAAAATAACAAACTTTTGGTTATTATTTCTGTTATTTGCTTACCTGTGCTACAATTTCAAGAGTAACTTAAGAGAAGGGTTGTTGCCTACGGCAGTCTGGATGACCACCTGGTTCTCAGTCTTAGGGAAATATCTGGGTGTGATTATAATGTCCCAGGTTTGGACCTCAGCTTACAGAGCTTGGGAGGCTTCCACAGTGGCTCAGTAGGTAATGAATCTGCTTGCAGTGCAAGAGACGCAGAGGAAAAGTCCTGTGGACAGAGGAGCCTGGCAGGCTGCAGCTGAGCACACAGCACACGCACACTACAGAGCTGGAGGAGTCAGTGTTGTTAGTTTATTGGAGAGTTTATTAGTGAGGCTCTGAGGATAGGTCCATAATAACAATACTCTCAAGAGATTGATACATAAAGTGGGATACCAGTTTGTCCATTTATAGTAAGTACAGTTGTTAAGCTGACCAAATGCTTTGTTTATAAACAAAATCATCCTTAAAAATACATGTATCATAATTAGTAGATTTTGGTGAGTAGAAATCTGATAGAAGGCTCTGTGTTGGAGGATCTTAATTACTATGTCATTGCTATCTCTTTCTCTGCCACTGGGACAGACCTGCTGTGAACTGATGTTCTTGCCTTTGGGCAAGACTGGGAACAAGCATGTGACACTAATATTTTGGCCTGAAAATGTTTAAGGGCCTTTATTTTTGTCTTCTAAAGTCATAATTCATAGATTCATTGTAGTCCATGCATTTTCTGTTGGCACATCCAGTTTAATTAATTAGGTTTAAGTTTTCTTACTTCAAATTGCATTTCAGTTAAGCTTATCTCTGTGAGATTGCACTTAGGTCATCTGAGTAGAATGTTGGATAATAAGCGGGTGGCTTATTGTGATCACATTGTTCCAAATTTTACCCTTGGGGTAAAAATCCATATGTATTCAAGGGTATGTGATACTTGGGTGTTGGTTATATTGTGTGTGTTTTAGGAATTTGAAGATTTATCAAAACAAAAAAGAAACAGTCCATATGTATGAAGATTTCTTAGATAACTGTGTAATAGAGCCTTGTTCGTTTTGAAGCACATGTAGGTCATAATTTTAATGACTGTGAGTCATAATCTTATTTTCAAGTGGGGGAAAAGAGCAATTTAAAACAGTTCAATAAAACTATATGGTATAGGGTATAACCTTTATATAGATTGTTAGTCATGAGAATTGTGTGGTTAAGATGCCAGAAGTGGGAGAGATGTCACTTACAATAGATGGAGAGTTAAGTATTGGAAACTTTCTAAGGGGTATTTAGACTGAGCTTTGGGAAATGTGGGATGAATGATGAAATTTGAACAAAAAGGGATAGGACTTAGCAGTGTGAACAGTTAGATCTATCCTTATCTATATACCAAGTGCATTTTTTTTTTTTATTTCACAAGAATATGTAATATATTTTTATTTTATTTTGTTAGGAAGGAAGTGAAGGACAGGTGTTGGTTCTTGGGGCCACAAATCGCCCTCATGCATTGGATGCTGCACTCCGAAGACCTGGACGCTTTGATAAAGAGATTGAGATTGGAGTTCCAAATGCTCAAGACAGGCTGGATATCCTCCAGAAACTGCTTCGAAGGGTACCTCATTTACTCACAGAATCTGAACTGCTACACCTGGCAAATAGTGCTCATGGATATGTTGGAGCAGACTTGAAAGCCTTGTGTAATGAAGCAGGTGAGAGTGATTGCTATAGTGAGTCTGTACTGATGGATTTAATAACTCTTGTTTATTTACAAGCTGATAATTTATATATCATTGATTTCCTAGTGGAAGCAGCTAATTTTTTTCTAATCATAAAAATATATATGTTTTAAAAAATTCAGTTAATTCAGAAAACTGTAAAAAAAAAAAAAAATCACTCTTAATCCTTCTTCCTAAAAATAAACACCGTTACAGTGTGTATCTTTCTTCCTAAGTACACAGATACACACAGACACACACATGAGTAACCCGATGCATTAATGGCAGTATTGATGGTGAACGTGTATACTGATATTGTCCTGTTAGAAAATAGGGAGAAGTGCTTGCTAGAGAATGAAAATTTTTCTTACAGGGCAGCTTTGTATTTGTTGAAGTGCTAAAAAAGTACTTAATGAAACCTAAGAATTCTATGCCTCCAAATAATGTGACAGTGACGTTTCAGTTTGAAAATGTATAAAGGCTGATATTAATCGGTTGACTCTGACTTTAACCATGGTATAACTGTAGTTGCTTTGGAAGCTCTTAAGACCTTTTTTCCCAGGGTAATTTTAGCCATGGAAAATGTAATCAGATCAGAGCAGTTTTTATAGCCTATTAAAGTATTTGATCAGGCAGGTAAGACTTTATTGAAAAATGTCAAATAATCTGTTGTTGTTGTTCTGAGAGTATTTATTTCTAGAAAAGGCATCTTTCCTAGAAAAGATATCTTTCTTCTAAGACTGGGTGTATACCTCATAGCATTTCTAGTTTGCCAGTAATCTTAGGTTCCTTAAATTTCTTTTTTCCTCTAGTATGGGCATATGTTTTCTAAGTCCATTTATATTTTGGAGGAATCTTTTTTCATTTGTGGCATTCTGTTCCTGTTTGTGACCTATCCAGTGTCTTCATAAGGTGCTTTAAATAAAGTTTAACCCTTGTAGGTCATGAAAGAAATTGAATTCTTGAATTGGGAATTTAGTTTAGTTTAGTTTTTTTTTTTTTTTACAGCTTTAGTACAGAAATATGGTAACTTTTATTTGCAAAGCTTTGGTTCGTAGTTAATCAAATTTACTAGGTTATTAGTCATTTGATCTTTTTAATCTGACGTAGGTGTGCAGGGAAACAGTTTTGAGAAGGAAGAAAAGATAATTGGAAGAGATAATTTGGATATCTTATTCTTTGTAGAAAAAATAAGTTTTAATTCATTCTATTTGGTCATTTTCACAATTTCCATTTTAGAGGACACACAACTAGGGAAGACTATAGGTTATACAGATGACAAGGCAAATATGAACATTCTTCTGGTACTTTATGGTCTAGGACAGAGTCCCTTTCTGCCTTGTTTCTTGTTCTTCATAACATTGATGAGTTTGATCATGGAAATGAATTCCCTGCTGATCAAGAAGAAATATCAGTGGTTCACTTTGCTTCCTTCATTCCATTAGGTGACAATGAAGAGTCTGGATTACTCTTTAGGCATTACTTTGTACTTGCTTATCTAGGCAATGATTCATTCGTCAGCATCCCTTTTCAACTTTCTAACAGATTTCATGCATCCTAGAAGGTTCTGGGATTCATGCTGTCTAGAAACATACAATCTGATGAAGGAAAAAGATCTGTAAAGAACTATACAGTGAGATAGAGCTTCCCTGATGGCTCAGCGGTAAAGAATCCTCCTGCCAGTGCTAGAGATGTGGGTTGGATCCCTGGTTCCAGTAGATCCACTGGAGAGGGAAATGGCAGCCCACTCCCCTATTCTTGCCATGGACAGAGGAGCCTGATGGGTTGCAGTCCAGGGGGTTGCAGAGTCAGACACAACTTAGTGACTAAACAACAACAACAGTACAGTCAGGTACATACTCAAAGCTAGAGAAAATGTAGTGACTTCTCCTGTGGAGAAAGGAGATTCTTTGGTTGTGTAGGAAAAGTGCCGGCATCTAAGAGTAACCTAAAAGAAAAAGTAAAAGTTGTATAGTCAGAATGAGGGTATGGGAAAGTAGGAAAGGGAAGATTCTTTCATCAGATTCTCACAGCAACCCTGAGATATAAGTATCAGAGAGACTCAAAAAGAGATCTCACTGCTAGTATGTGGCAGAACTAGAATTTAAACTCAGTGTCATCTTACTCCCAATCTGTGCTCTTAATCAAAGTTAAATCATAAAACAGATATTTGTCAAAGTGGTATAATGTTTTCTGATTTAATTTTAGTCTGTGAAACTAAGAGTAGGATCAACTTATGAAATAGAAACTAGCCCCCATATTTTTTCACAGGTAAATATAGTCTAGAAGTTAAGTTCTATCCTTAGACTTTCAGGGGAAAAGTGATATTGTCACTCACATACCAGATATAAATAGGATCATCTACTTTCCACTCACATACTAGATATAAATAGAACCCCTCCGCCACCAAAAACTTTAGGAAGATGGCAAGAAAACTTAATTTCTACTGCTGTGTTACATTTAATTGAAAAAGTTGTGAAAGAGTCAGAAGGTAGGGTAGAGAAAAAACGCTTATTTGAAGATATGTACACATAAAAAGGATGTATGTACATGGTATATACAAGCAGTAAATAAATATTAACTGCTGTTCAGTTCAGATGCTCAGTCATGTCCAACTCTTTGCGACCCCATGAATTGCAGCATGCCAGGCCTCCCTGTCTATCACCAACTCCCGGAGTTTACTCAAACTCATATCCATTGAGTCGGTGATGCCATCCAGCCACGTCATCCTCTGTCGTCCCCTTCTCCTCCTGCCCCCAATCCCTCCCAGCATCAGGGTCTTTTCCAGTGAGTCAACTCTTTGCATGAGGTGGCCAAAGTATTGGAATTTCAGCTTCAGTCCTTCCAGTGAACACCCAGGACTGATCTCCTTTAGGATGGACTGGTTGGACCTCCTTGCAGTCCAAGGGACCCTCAAGAGTCTTCAACACCACAGTTCAAAAGCGTCAATTCTTCGGTGCTCAGCTTTCTTCACAGTCCGACTCTCACATCCATACATGACCTCTGGAAAAACCATAGCCTTGACTAGACGGACCTTTGTCAGCAAAGTAATGTCTCTGCTTTTTAATATGCTGTCTAGGTTGATCATAACTTTCTTTCCAAGGAGTAAGCGTCTTTTAATTTCATGGCTGCAGTCACCATCTGCAGTGATCTTGGAGCCCAAGAAAATAGTCTGTCAGTGTTTCCACTGTTTCCCCGTCTATTTGCCATGAAGTGATGGGACCAGATGCCATGATCTTAGTTTTTCTGAATGTTGAGCTTTAAGCCAGTTTTTTCACTCTCCTCTTTCACTTTCATCAAGAGGCTTTTTAGTTCCTCTTCACTTTCTGCCATAAGGATGGTGTCATCTGCATATCTAAGGTTGTTGATATTTCTCCCAGTAATCTTGACTCCAGCTTGTGCTTCTTCCAGCCCAGCATTTCTCATGATGTACTCTGCATAGAAGTTAAATAAGCAGGGTGACAATGTACAGCCTTGACAATATTTAAACTTATCTTCTGTTTCCCCTAATTTAGCAGTGAATCAGATTTTGAGAAGGTAATTTTAAAAATGATTTAGTCTCAGAGCTGAAGTTCCAGTAGGGAAAATAATGTGGTTTTCTGTATACTGTCCTAAATACTAGCCTGTGTTGTATTACATAGTGTTGTTCTCTAATTTTATGTAGAGAATAAAGCTTAAGAACAGTGTGCTAGAAGTTTTTGCAAAGGATATCCCTAAAGAGGCGGCAGGGTGGGGAGTCATAGTAGAAAATGGATTTTTAGTAGAAAATACCTTTAAGATCAGACTTGTGGTTTTGCGCAAGTTCTTTACCTTATCTGAACCTTAGTTTTTTCCATTTGTAAATTAATGGGGTTATGGTAGATATGTACCCTTTTAAATATGATATTCCCCGGATAAAAGGGAGAATAAGAAAAAAATGGGAAAAAAGAGAGGGAGGGAGGAAAGATAGGAAGGGTAGAATAAACTTAAGTGAGTTCGGGTAATAAATGGGTAATAACATGGAAATACCCAAGTTACACACTAAACCTGTCCTGACCTCATTAGCTACTTGCATGTACCTGGCCTTTCCACGGTTCATTGTCGTCTCTTTTATACTTGTTTGCCTGAATTAAACTTAGGTGGTTAGTCAGGAATTTTTCCTATACTGTCCTTAGAAATAATGCTACAAAGCAGACTAATACAGATTGTGAAGTCAACTGCATTTTCTCATTGAAACAGTTTTATAGTTTCTAATTAAGGATTTGAGTAAATTATACATTTGGTTAATAATGTGACTCAGAAAGAAAGATAAAACAACTCAAACTCTGTATGCATTAAAAATAGTAGAATTATCCTCCAAATGCTATAGAATGGGTGTATCTTACTTAACTTGCAAGGGCATCCCTAATATGTGCATTGAGCATAGGAAGAAAAAACAGCCATATAGTAAATTTGATTACATATTCTCCTGGTTCTAAGTAAAAAGAATTGAATATTTAATATTTCCTCCTAAGTAAATACAAATTTAGAGAAGTTATTAGGGTAAAAATTGAATGGCTCTTAGTCTTTTTAAATGACTTCCTAGAAAAGTTTGAACTGGTGGCCTTCTCTTTTTTTAATGTAAGTGTCCTTGGACAGGTAGAAGCAGTCACAATTACTACATTGAGCTTAGAATTACAAAGTTAGAATCATAATTTTTTACAAAAAGAATCATGGTAAAATCTTAATATTTAGAGGCAATATTAATGATTTCTAGTACAAAATAGATGCTCAATAAGTCTTTGGGAAATGTATGTGAAAACCAGGAGACATAATGAGCGTGGTTACCACTCTCTACCTCTTGTGGAAGTTGCTCAGTCATGTCTGACTCTTTGTGACCCCATGGACTATACAGTCTATGAAATTCTCCAGGCCAGAATACTGGAGTGGGTAGCTGTTCCCTTCTCCAGGGGATCTCCCCAACCCAGGGATGGAATCTAGGTTTCCCGCATTGCAGGCACAGTCTTTACCAGCTG